GGTGATGAGAAGAACTTGGTCATGAGCTCCGAGACGTCTGGAAGCTCCTGATTGGAGTTCAGCATGTTCATGGACTGCTCCATCTCCTGCCAATCAATCAATCAATCAATCAATCACGTGATCAATCAGAGCAGAGCGTTCAAGCATTGTGAAGGGGTTCATACCCGTCTCATCTCGGGATCGCTGGGGTTGAAGACTTTAGGAAGAAGGAGGATTATGAGGAGAGGAAGAACCATCATGAGAACCTGAGAGAGTGAAGAGTAAAGCGTGAGACTGGTGCTGCGGTTACAGGACAAGAGTAGGGTTGGGTATCGTTTGAATTTGATCAATTCCAATTCTGCTTATCGACTATCGATTCAATTGTGGTTTAAAAAAAATGAAGTCAAACTAGGGCTGTCGCGATAACCGCAATATCGCAATACCGCTACCGCAAGGGAAATTCCCTCACCGCGACAGCCCTAAGTCAAACATTTAGATATCAAACATATTTATTCTGTCTCTTTTTCCAAAACATTTAATTGCTGCTGAATACAATGAACAAAAATCAGCTGGCTACATAAAAACTGGACTCGACTAAGAGCTGTTTGTGTGCAAAATAGAGCGGCACGATTCTGGATAAATTGAGACTTTTTGTTTTGTTTTGTTTTTTTAACGGAGATTGTGGTTCTCTCACAATTCTGAAGAAAACATTAGACAACTAAACAAAATCTCATGGAATTTATGAATGAATGATTCATTGACGCACTCAAGATTCACTTGTTTCATTACTGGATGAATCAGTGTTTTTGAATGAATCTCTTGAATGAATGATTCAAAGACAAATTGATAGGCGGAATCTAAATTTGAATTGAATGGAATTTAATTGAATTTAAGCATCCCATTCTTGACCTTAAGTATCCGATTCAGGAATTGGAATTGATTTTCGATTCCCAACCCTATATCGCAGCGACGCACCATCGGGTTCATGAGGAAATCGGACCAGCCCCAGGTTTCCCGCGGGATGAAGTATGAATGCAGACCGATGCACCGCATCTGAAGCGGGTACGGCAGTCGGATCACCTCTGAGGTCTTGATGTAGTTGACCACACGAGCCCTGCACGAGCAGAGAACCGTCACCACTGACTCAACGCACATTAAAATCAATGAAACGGCAGATCTAATGGTCCTCTGTATGATTCAGTGGTTAGTTTCACACAAACATTGGTGTAGCATCCAGCACGATTCTGGATAAATTGAGACTTTTTGTTTTGTTTTGTTTTTTTAACGGAGATTGTGGTTCTCTCACAATTCTGAAGAAAACATTAGACAACTAAACAAAATCTCATGGAATTTATGAATGAATGATTCATTGACGCACTCAAGATTCACTTGTTTCATTACTGGATGAATCAGTGTTTTTGAATGAATCTCTTGAATGAATGATTCAAAGACAAATTGATAGGCGGAATCTAAATTTGAATTGAATGGAATTTAATTGAATTTAAGCATCCCATTCTTGACCTTAAGTATCCGATTCAGGAATTGGAATTGATTTTCGATTCCCAACCCTATATCGCAGCGACGCACCATCGGGTTCATGAGGAAATCGGACCAGCCCCAGGTTTCCCGCGGGATGAAGTATGAATGCAGACCGATGCACCGCATCTGAAGCGGGTACGGCAGTCGGATCACCTCTGAGGTCTTGATGTAGTTGACCACACGAGCCCTGCACGAGCAGAGAACCGTCACCACTGACTCAACGCACATTAAAATCAATGAAACGGCAGATCTAATGGTCCTCTGTATGATTCAGTGGTTAGTTTCACACAAACATTGGTGTAGCATCCAGTGTAAGTGTGTTTTACAGCAGTAACTGTATCAAAGTTCGCATCCACACACCTCATCTTCCCTGTGGTGGTGATGTCAACCCGCACAGGCTGGAATCTGTAGGTCGGAGAGGAGATTTCCAGAACATACGATCCTGACGGAACGTCGCTGACTGTGAAACTTCCATCATCTCTGCGGAAAGAAGCAGGACTGCTCTGGTACCACGGTACAGGATAGGGTCAGATGATAGAGCCATCCCAGCAAACACAGGACGCTCCTGTTTGGGTCCCAATTGTTTTGTTTTTTTGGGAACAAAATCAGAAGGGAACGTACTGGGAATTTTTTTTGGGGGGGGAACCAAATTAGAACATTCCGTGAACGCATTGAGAACGTTTGGTTATTTTTAGCAACTAAATAAGAACATTCTGTGAACGTATTGAGAACGTTTGGTTATTTTTAGCAACTAAATAAGAACATTCTGTGAACGTATTGAGAACGTTTGGTTATTTTTTGGGATCCATATAAGAACGTTTTGTGAATGTACCGAGAACGTTTGGTTATTTTTTGGGAACCAAATTACAACATTCTGGGAATGTATTGAGCACATTTGGTTATTTTTTAACCAAATTAAAACATTCTGGGAATGTACCGAGAACGTTTGGTTATTTTTAGCAACCAAATAAGAACATTCTGTGAACGTTAGCGGAATGTTGTATAAAGAAAACGTTCCTGTGTAACCAACAGTACCTTAGAGCGTTCTGGAAACCATAAAGCACTAGCTGGGATGGAACTGAATCATTACCATATTCACTGCATTGGCGTGCAGGCGCACCTGAGGAAGCCCACGTGTTTGTCTCCGTCCAGCAGAACCCGAGCAGATGCGATCCAGTCCTGAGCCCTGACGCCCGGAACCAGCGCCCGACCCGACACCCGAACCCTCACGTCTCCGCCAGGCGTCTGAAACATCGCGTCTTCATCCTCATCTTCATCGTCGTGTAGTTTGATGTCTAGAGAGCAAGACGCGCGCATCGCGAGCAGCAGCAGCGCCGCGACACACACGCGACACACGCGACACATCTTTCGTCGGGTTCGTCGTTCACGGTGTTCGTCTAAAAACAGCGGTTCTCTGAAGCTGCCGTCACTCTGAGATCAAAACAAACCAGCTCGAGTTTGACAGGCGCTGCGTGATGACGTCATCGACGAGCGCGTGAGACTTCAGTCCTCAACTTAACGTAGTTTTTTTAAATTTATTATTGTTTATTTATTTTAGTATAAACCGTTTCAATGAAGTAGAAGAGAGGAGGGAAAGACTATGATCAGAGTGGTAAAAAACAAAAAAATATTTATTCGATTGCAAAGTGAGTTATGTATATTGTTATATATGTTACTTATAACGATAAGAAACTATATACTTTGACTAAAATTAAAAAGAAAACAAAATATTAAAATACAAATGTATTCAAAATATGAATTAAAAACTATAAAAGTATCTAATAATTTAAATATTTTGAATTTTGAAGTATTTTGAGTTTTTTAGTATATATATATATATATATATATATATA